CCAGCACAGCTGGCTGGGGAATTCTGGGAATTGAAGTCCACCCGTCTTCAAGTTGCCCAGGTTGAGAAACTCTGCCCTGGACTGCATCCGTGTGAACAATTTAGCCTATGTTTGAATTTAGATTGCAGGTTGGTAAACATTTCCATAGCCCTGTTTTTTTTTCTTTAATATTTTGCAAACAGAGGCTTACTAGCAACCGCAGCAGAACACTTCTGCCGTGGCAGGTTTGCTCAAGAGCCATCCTCCTTGCCTGCTTTTTGACCCCCCCTGATCGATGCCACGCTAATGGAACCGCGGCGTTTCCCGAAGGCGTCCATCCATCAGCGGTTTACAGTGAAACACAGGTTGAGGGACGCTTGGAAACGGTTCTTAGAGAGAGAGAGAGAAAACAACGGAGACACCTTTAGTGGCTCTGCTTTCCGAAAGCGGGGAAAAAGTGGCTGGGGTGGTCCGTGGTCCTGCTAAAATTGGAGCAGGAAGGAGCCACGATTCTCGTTTTTGATTTTGGGGAGCGATGGGGGTTTGCCGAGATGCACGGTTGGTTTTGTCTTGCTGGATTGTGACGTGGTGCAGGAATGTGCCAACCTCGTCCTGCTAAAGCCAGCCTCTTACTTTTTATTAATTAATTAATTAATTAATTAATTAAATTTCTCTCCACCCATCTCCCCCCAGTGGGGGACTCTGGGCGGCTCACACAAAGCATTAAAACAATAAATATATATAAATACATAAAACATAAGAAAGGTATACAAAACATTACCGAAAAGAAGGAATGTGCAGAGACTGCCGTGCTTGGGGTCCATTGTTTCCAGTGGAATATTGAAGGGAGAAAAAGCAAGGAGGAAGGTAGCTTGTCCATGCTCAGATGCACTCTGGAGAGGCATGCTTGTATTTTTAATGCAGGAGACTGGATAGAGAGCCCCCATCTCAGCAAGCAGAAATTATCTGTATTTTGGAAATCCCTTTACCTTATTGATGTAAAACCTTTCAGTTGTCTGAAAAGGTGCCCCATCCCGTTGCTTCCAGGGACCTTCTTTAAAAAAAATCTATGTTTTAACCCAAACGCTTCTAAACGTTGCAAGGATCATCTAAGCTTTTGTGTAGCAAAAAGGCTCTTCTTATTCTAAGCTGCGATTTCTTCGGTTCTAACCTGCACTGGCCCTCCCTTTATTCTTGTTTCATCCTTGTTTTAATTGCCAGATTTCCCAAAGAAACAGGAAATTCTGTAATTTTCTGGAGGTCCTCCGACTTCTTGTAGCCTGTAGCTCCAGTATTGCATTTTACTGCAGTTTCCCTATTCATTTTCTCTTTTTGGAAACGTTTAACGTTGCAGCTGTTTAATACATCACGAGAATGTGGCTTTTGGGGCAGATTAGAATTCTAAATTCAACAGGCGAATCAGTAAAAAAGCTGACTTCTGGTGGAGGACTTCCATTGCAGACTGAGAGATGCCCGCTACGTTTTTGACCTCAAGGAGCCTCACTCCTGATAAACAGGTTTACATTTTCCACCTGAAATGTCCAGATTGATCCTTAATGCCCCCTCATTTAGGAGAATCTGAGCAAAGAGGAGAACCATGTTGTCCAGCCCAAATTCCCAGCTGATTCTGGCTCAGTTTGAGGATGCATTTTTTTAGCCATGGGTCAGTCAGGAGATGAGGCTTACTTGGAGTGGAGATGAACCCAAAGGTCTGCCTTCAGGCTACGCCGCTGAAAAAACTCTCCCTTGCCGGAATGCAAAGTAAAATAATTCAAATGGCAGGAGTCATTGGGGATGTCACACTGTGTTGCAATACGTTCAAAAAAGTGCAGCGTTGCAGAAACTGGAGAGGAAACAGGTACAAATTTACTCTCCGGCATGCATGTTGTTGGTGAGAAAGGAGCAAAGGCTTGGGTGAATCCAATACATGAGCTTAAAAAGTCTTTCTCATCCAGGTCTCATGGTACCAAGTGAGGTGTCCTTCTTGTGAGATCCAGTCCCCGGAACCCCCCGAGAAAAATGTCAGGAATGCAGGTAAGGACCAAGATGGGGAGCAGAAAAATCATTACTTTCCTCGATTTCAATTTGACAGGTTCACGCCATTTGGGGGGGGGGGGGGTCAATGATTTGCCTCTGCCTTTTTCTGGGAGATGTTTTAAATTTCCCCATCCTCTCATGCAGGTTCTCTGGGATCCTGACTGGTTGACGATGGTTGGTTGGAACTTGGCTGGCATTTCTGAGTTGGGTTTTGTAGTTGTATTTTCATGAAGTGTTTAACTGGTAATCAGGCGTTGGGTAACTGCTTTTTATCTTTATAGGCCATTATTTTTAGGCATGTGTGTTTGGGTCTCCAAAGCAGCTTTTACATGATGGTTGCTATTCTTATTTTTTGAAGAAGGATCTTTAAGAAGTGCTATTTTAATTAAGCAAGAAAGGGAAGGAACTGTAGCTCAATGACAGTTCACGTGATTTCCTTGCAAGGTGTGTTAGATTCAGCTTTGAGTCCCCCAGTTTAAAAATACAGGTGATCGAGTGGCTAGAACAGGGTTTTTCAACCTTGGCAACTTTAAGATGTGTGGACTTCAACTCCCAGAATTCATGCATGCTGGCTGGGGAATTCTGGGAGTTGAAGTCCACACATCTTAAAGTTGCCAAGGTTGAGAAACACTGGGCTAGAGGCAGACCATTGTCTACAATGGTTGGACTCCTTTCCCTGTCTTCATTTTCAGATTATTTTGTGGTGCAAACTTATCTTCAGAGGATAAAGAGCTTTTGACAAGCCAAAAACTAATAAACAAAGCCTATTGCAGACCGTTTACCTTTTGGGGGGTGCCCTGAACTGTACTGATAACTCTCGTTGCAAGCACGATAACTGATTCTCAACCCCCCCCCCCACCACCATATTTGGAAGTTTTTTGGGGGGGTGCAGCGCCTCTACTAACCTTGTGAGATATTTCACGTCTGCTCAGATAGACGTCAGAGAATTGAGGGGATCCAGAATGGGCTAACAAGATTTGGGGCACACCCTGCAGTTGGAAAACAGATGCTCTGCAAACATAGCTCGTTGAGGGGTTCCAACTGCTTCATAACATCCTGAACCAACCGACCAGCTTTGCAGATGCACCCGTTCAAAAGCAGGGTGCGGTTTGCTGAGCATCCTGCATCAGGAACAAAATTTAGATACCATTTGTTCTTCCCATAGTGCTATCTCCACCCCCCGCCCGAGAAGTCAAGTTGCATCATCTAATTGAAGCAACCTTCTTCAAGATGATTCAACTTGAGAATGATGGAAATTGTAGCCCATAAATTTGGAGGAACAACATCTTAGAGAAGACTGAGTTTTAGTCCATCAGGACCTCCCCAGTAACAGGGCCCTCTTGGGGCTGTCCCATCATGTGGTAAATCTCAGAAAAGTATGCCTAGACTTGCACCCAATTTTTAGGGTTTTTAAAATATATACAGAGCTTTAAAAACTTGACAGAAAGCACCCTTTGGAAGTCCCTCGCTCCTTCATAGGCATCTTAAAAATACTTGCTTTCTGCTTGCTGTCCATAGTACAGTTTAACTCCATTAGCAGCTCTGCTCTGATGGCAAAGCCACCGATCTTGTCCTGTGATTTTTTGAACAGGGCAACAGCCATCTTCTCCAAGTTTTCTTCTCCTCTTCAAGATGCAATTCTAGGTAAAATAATTCCTGGGTTATAGGAAACTCATCTTTCCAGAGCTGGGCTGGATGGTTGGTGAATAACTGGAATGATTGCCAACTAATGATTGCTGTTGGATGGGGAAGCAGGGGACTCAGAAGTTGAATGAAATTCCTCACAGCTAAAAAAGGACTTGCTATGTAGCAGTGTTTCTCAACCTTGGCCACTTGGAGACGTGTGGACTTCAACTCCCAGAATTCCTCAGCCAGATGGCTAGGGAATTCTGGGAGTTGAAGTTCACACGTCTCCAAGCGGCCAAGGTTGAGAAACACTGTTATATAGAAAGATCTTTGCCTGTTTCCTCGTACAGCTTTTGCTTTTTATGATGGCATGAAGCAGGATCCAAATGATAACATTGTCCTTGTTCTCTCCAAAAGGCGGTCTGGCCCTCTGGCACAGAATGTATTGCCAAGTACAACTTTCATGGCACGGCTGATCAGGATCTCCCCTTCAGCAAAGGAGACGTTCTCACCATCATCTCTGTCACCAAGGTAACTGTCCTGGCCCAACTGAATGCTCATCAGTGTCTGCAACTAGCCACGGTGATGGAAAAACCCTAACGGCACGGTGAATGCAAAACTCGTCCTTGCGTGCTTGCCTCCTGAGGCTGAACTCAACTGCCAATGTCTTGGGGTTTGCGTCATGCTGTCATGACACGTGTGGGTTACTTGCCACAAATGACCACAGGTGATATCATTGGGCAAATGACATCACTGTGTCCTTTGTACAATGAGGTCACGATGTGCCATCATTCTGATGCCATCCTGGCTTGTAACTGGAATGGGATGTGGGAATGACCTTGGGAGACGGGGGGAAGAGATGCTGCCTAGGGAACAGTCAGATAAGAGAGGGCATAGCCCACAACTGCATAACGGGCAGAGAAAGAAACTCAGAAAGGAACCTCCCTGACTTCTCAGGCTGTAAAAGAGATGGTGGGAGATTGTTACTGTCAGACTCGCAAGACTGATGTCAGCCTTCCCAGTTAGACCAGACAGGAAACACAACCACGTGAACTACTTCTGTTTTATTGTAAGGCTACATTAACAGAATCTTGCTAGGGAGGTTCCTTTCTGAGTTTCTTTCTCTGCCCATTATGCATCTGTGGGCTGTGCCCTCTCTTATCTGACCATTCCCTAGGCAGCATCGTCTCGCGAGGGCATTCCCACATACCATTACAGTAACAGACTGCTAACGAGGGCGGATAGGACTTTGCTGCAGTCTGCAACCACAGAATCCTAGGACAAATGGTTGTCCAGTCTTTTCTTGAACACCTTCCATGATGGAGCCCCTCCAACTCCAGGAGGCAGGCGGTTCCATTGCTTAATGCCAACTCTTTGAGAATATGTATTTTTTTAATTAAAACGCTTGCATCACCCCTCTCTGTTGTATCTTCCCAGACAGCTTCCTCTGCACAATATCACTCTTTATGCATTACAATTAAACTGTGATGGAGACAGGAGATATTAAAGAAAGACAGCCTGGGCAAACCCAACCCAATTAGAGTTTTGCCAAATACGACTGTATGACAAGCTTTCAATGACTCATATTTCTGTTGAGTTTATCACAGTGGTAGAAAACACTCTACCCTTTAGGTACCTTGCATATCTCCCTGGAGAGGGCATCAGGAACCCGGCACTGCGGGGAAATTACCGTCTCAAGACGCCCCTGGGTCCATTTTTTGCCTCTTTCTACATTGCATACTGGCAGTCTCCACGGCTGCATGGAGGTCTCTCTCATAGACAAAGCTGGAGCGTAGGACATGTCCCCAAAACTTGTTGCTGGGGGGCTGGGTCAGAGGACACTCCTTCTACAAGATGAGTTGCAGAAGCGAAGTTGAAAAGGGTCCCCCAACGGCAGCATGACTTCTCTCCCTTCAGAGGATATAGGTTTTAATTAACCATGAACACTATTCAGCCTTCTTTTTAAAAGTAAGCCACTGGGTCAAATCCAGTGCCAGATTTGTCATCTGTATTTGCTAGGAATAGCTAAGCGACCGTCTGCTTTCTCTGGGGCCCGGTGTTGAGAAAAGACTCACCAGTATCTCTGGGTTTACCCGCACTGGGGAATTCGGGGAGTTGAAGTCTACCTCTCTTCAGGTCGCCGAGTTTGAACACCTTCAAGGCTTCACAGAGGGCATTTTTGAAAAAGGACTTTATCCTTGGGAGGGGAACAGCTAATTTTCCCCTCCCCAGAGTCCCCCCACCCCACCTGAACAATTCACTCTGTAGTTTTACAATACGCTCCGTGGTTATCAGCAGAGACCGGTTCAAGGGTATTTGCAGGGAGGGAAGATGTGATGAAATAGCACAGGGAAGGCAGCAGCGCTGAGTTTGTGCCTTGATTTGGACTTTGGCCTCATTTGCTGCTGGACCAGGACCGTCCCACCTCAACTTGGCCATTGATTGAGTTTTTTTTTTTTTTTCCCCATTCCTCCTTTCAAGCCCACGGGACGAGGAGGGAATTGCGGAGTCAAGACTGTGGCATCTACCACGGAGAAATGGGGAGTTCAGTGGAGGAGGGTTGATGGTCTCTGGTTTGGCTTACGGGGGGACGTGTGAAACCTTCACGGGAGTCTGGGGTCCCTGCTAACGATGCTTCCCTCCCTTCTCTCCAGGACCCCAACTGGTACAAAGCAAAAAATAAAGTGGGCCGGGAGGGTATCATCCCGGCCAACTATGTTCAGAAACGAGAAGGGGTGAAAGCCGGAATCAAACTTAGCCTCATGCCGTAAGTATAGATAGAAAACGCTGGCCCGCTTTGCCAATGCTGGGTGCGGATGCGTGAATTGTGGGACTTCCATAAAGAAATAAGTTTCTAGTTCTCATTGTTCTTTTTTTTCCCCTTCCTCTTTTTTTTAAAAAAAAATCCAGAAGCTGTGCTTGGGTTTATTTTCCAGGCACAAACTGGGGAGCAGTCTGCTCCTTTTATTTCACAATTTATATATTGCGTGTTTGTTTATTTGCCTAAGCCTATTTGTTTATGTATTACCTTTTAAATATTTTATAAAGGTAAGTGCCCAAACAGCAGATGCTGTAGGAGCTCCCAGATCTTGGGCCAGCTTTGCAGATTAGGAGGGGAAGAAAAAATTTCTCACTGCATTTACACTTTCTGCTAAACCCTAGTTAGCTTTGGACTCGGCCTGTTGTGTGAACTATGCCAGCTGTAGCATATTCAGAAGATGTTTATGAGACAAACCATGGCTTAGGTACGATGTGGGAATGATGTATGAAAGCAAAAAATCTAGCTCGGGTAGATGGTCTTAGCAGAACATCTCCACGCCCCATTCACAAAATTTGCCTGAACCGGGTTACTATATTAGCCTATGTTTTGGTCTCCTGCAATATATTAAATCATCATCTCATCGAAGAGGCTGGCCTTGCCACTAAAACATCTGTAGAGTTTTTAGCAAGCTTAAGGTCTTGTGCAAAGCTAGCCACTTGGCTTATGCTTGCCTTAGTTGAGTGAGATCAGTGTTTTTCGAACGTGGCAACTTAAAACGTGTGGACTTCAATTCCCAGAATTCATGCATGCTGGCTGGGGAATTCTGGGAGTTGAAGTCCACACATCTTAACGTTGCTGAGGTTGAGAAACATGGTTTAGATGGACATCATTGAGCAGATAGGTCTAAGAAATCTGTGTTCTGCCCATGGAAAATGCTGGGATCACAGTCACGCGGGTAAGAGTGCAGACCGCCTTGCTTCAGTACGTTCTGACTGTCCTCCTCTTGGTCTCTTTTCCCCTTCTCAGCTGGTTTCACGGGAAGATCACGCGTGAGCAAGCTGAGCGGCTGCTGTACCCGCCGGAGACGGGTCTCTTCCTCGTGCGCGAGAGCACCAACTACCCGGGGGATTACACCCTCTGCGTCAGCTGTGAAGGCAAGGTGGAACATTACCGCATCATCTACTCCTCCAGCAAGCTGAGCATTGACGAAGAGGTCTACTTTGAAAACCTCATGCAACTCGTGGAGGTGAGGCTGGGCCAAGGTCGGCAGGGAGAACTGGGGTGAGGAGCAGCAACGTGGGTCTCTCCTGGCTGCATCGTTTATAGAGGTGTGCCTGGATGTTCTTCTCCACTGGTTCATCTCAGTCACATTACCATTTTGGGCTGGGTCAGGGCATCTCCAGAAGGGTCAAAATCTGCAAGGTGGGAGGTGCAGCATTGCAATCAAAGTCCCCTCCCTTTGTGTGAGTGGCTTTGATCCCGTCGCCACCCCCACCCTTTGCCTGTTTTGACACTCCCACCCCCCCACGGATGTCCCTAAGTTTCCTTGGTGTGGAGTCCTGGCGATCCTGGCCTTACGGCTTAGAAACTGAAGTTGAGAGCCTGTCACTGGCCGGGCTATAGAAAGATGCCTCCATTGGGTGGAATGCTGTATTCCCACAAGCCTGTGGTTTGCAGTGAGTTTATGGCAACCTGAATTAGGTGGACGAATTACCTCCTATTCAAGGTCCTTTATACGAAAGATTGAACCTGTACAAAATATTTCATGCGTCTACTTGACAGTGAATCAGAGCATCCTCATTTTAGGCTAATCCTGAGCAGGATGACTACAAGTAGCTCTTTTTAGCTTTAGAGGAGTCAACCCGGCTTTGTAAAATAATAGTTTAGAGAGTTCTTGTATCCCATGGGAAGCTTCATCCCCTGTGCATTTGCGCTCTCTTTCCTGCTGGAGAGTCACCTTCAGCGTTTCACAACCTCAGATGTGTGGACTTCAGTTCCCAAAATTCCTCAGCCAGCATGCATGAATTCTGGGAGTTGAACTCCACATATGCTGGCTGGGGAATTCTGGGAGTTGAAGTCCACACATCTTCAAGTTGCCAAGGTTGGAAGCACTGCTCTAGCTAAAAAAGAACAGGTAGCCCCCAGTTTAAGAACAAGTTCCGTTCCCAAGGTCTGTCCTTAAGTCGAATTTATACATAAGTCAGAACAGTGTTATTGTATAATAATGTATAACTAGTATTGTGTAATGAACTCGAACCATTGTGTTTTTAACTTGAATAGTTGTGTATTTAACTCGAGTTTTGCTACAGTAGGCTTCGTTCTTAACTACGGGTTGTCCTTAAAATGGGCATTCTTAACCTGGGGACTACCTGTAGTTTCACAGCTGCACTTGTTGATCAAAGCTCATTGTAAATTCCCAGCCATGGGGAAAAAGCGGGGGGATGAATTAATTACTGACCAACATACAGAAGTCTCTCTGCACCTATTCAATGGCTCTTAGGGTTAAGCTCTTTCCCTAGCAACGTAGCCCTGTATTCATATGGGGGAAAAAAGAAATCTGCCTTTTAAATTTTCCCAGCGGCTCATTTGCATCAGTGGCAGTATTCTCCCTCCCCCCCTGCCCCCTTTAAAATACGGTGTGTGGCTCCCTGCCTGGGGTATCCCAAGCCCTTAGGAATTGCTGTGGGTTCCCTTTGCTGTCGAGAGGCCATCCCCGATGTGCGTATTACGTGCACATCGCAGGAGGCACACCTGAGCTTTTAACGGTCGCATCGCTACTCAGGGGAGCCGATGGCAGAACGAAATCGGTAAGGCTGCTGGAGCAGAACTGGTTCAAAAGAGACTGCACCAAGTTCCTCTACCAGTGTTTCATGGCTGGCTGGGGAATTCTGGGAGTTGAAGTCCACACATCTTAAAGCGGCCAACGTTGAGAAACACTGCTCTACCATATGGAAAGGTCCTCTCCCTTCTCGTCCTCAGCCATGTCCCTCTCTAGACAAGGCACCAAGATGACCTTCTCCTTCTGGTCTGTAAGAAGTGGACCGTTTACTTTGGAGCAGGCAGTCTCTCCAGGACCCTGGACCCTGATGGATCCTTCTTTGCTTTGCTCTCAGCCCAGCAAGACCCCAGCGTTCAGAGGCGAGCTGATCCAAGGAAGACTCCGCTCTTTGTCAGATCCTGGAGAAAGGAGGGGTCTTTCCAGAATAGATCTAGGGACTTGCTGGTCATTCCCTCTGCCTCGCCGCTGGAGAGTTGGCTCCCGGCAGGGCCTTCTTCTCCAGCCTTACGCCCTCCAAGCACACCGGGGCAAGAATTCTCCCTCTGAGAAATGGCTTCCCAACCCTTTTGCGGGGCACTCGGTTGGAAAAAGTAGAGTTAGAGAATGCACCAGCTGGGAGCCACCCAACTGACCAACCCCGACAGTTCCCTCGCCCCGCCCTGTGTGGTCACAGGCTGCACAGCTCAAGCATGCTCAGGGCTTCCTGCCTCTCGCATCACTCAGCAGAGACAGGAAGACGCTTCTGAGCAATTCCGAAAGTGCCTCCTTGCAAAGCGAGGCGTGTGGAGCTGGGTGCCCGTTTTGCACTCAGCAGCTCAGCTGGGGCAGAGGGAGCGGAAGCATCGCTCAGTAGTGACAGACAAGCAAGTGATTCCCTTGGGGATCATACTTGTGGACGAGCGAGTTCCCCATTTCTCCTCTGGGCTCCCGAACAGAGCCACTGGGAGCCGGGCCTGGCGTCATACTGCCCCCTGGTGGGCCGCAGCGTCATTGGGACGGCTGCCGCACCGTTGCGACTTGGCACCCTGCAAGCTGCGTTGGGGCGTCTGTCTTCTAAAGGTGCTCTGGCCAAACACGAACTAGGAACCTTATAAGGAGCCAAGGTGCCAGAAGTTGTTTTGTCCTGTCTCAAACGTGCGTTTGTGTGTGCGTCCTTTTTAACAGGTCGCTAGTGGCACTGAGGGTGTTTGCACAATGTATATATTACTTGCTTATTGGCGTGTAGTAGCCACACGCAGATACCCCGAGCCCCTGGGATAAAGCGGGTCAGTTTCTAGTAGCCAAGATCCATAGACAAGGCCACCTAAGCGGGTCAAAGAAAACGAGACACCCCCCCTCCCGCTCTAGCCAAATGACCAGGCTGGATTTTAAGAAATGGTAGCCTGATCACAGGAAAATCTCATAGGAGCAGTACGCAAAATTATACTCATTTTAATTCAAGATGCTCATGTGAACAAAGCATCTTCATGGCCCTGTGAAAGAACCGCGGGGAAGGTGCTAGGAATGAGACTGCGGGGGCAGGGATGTCCATGTTGGGGGGGGAGTCAAAAAAGTCAAGATGTGCAGCTGTGCAATCGAAACATCCTCCCTTTTTTCCCACCTGTTTTTTCAACTTCAGTAAACATTCCGTCAAGGTACATAAATCTATCAGCTTGCTCCATGTTTTTGCCCCTTGTCTACAATTTGCAGTTGGACCCTCCATTTCCCTGTCAAATGCAACAGCCTTAGTTTTTGACAGATTGAATTTGAGATCCCTGCACCTTGTTGCATGATACAATCTGTCTAGCATTTGCTGCAAACCCTCCAGGTTCTCAGCCAACAACGTGGCCCCATCTGCATTCAAAAATACTTGCATGTTCATGTCTCCAACCAGTATAGCTCTAATGCCACTGCGAGTCTCCTTCATACATTTATTGATCCAACAACCAAGGGGATACCCCACATCCCTGTGCAGGGTTGAACCCTTCACTAAGCAATTCCTTTATTCTCAGACGTGTTTTGTTCCTATCCTGTACTGCTCTTTCTGCATTCAGCAACTCAACCTTCAACTCCATATTTTGCAAAACATCCATAATTCAAGCCTGTTTGCTTTCTCTAAATCAGCAAAAATCCACTAAACTTTTCACATCCATACGACTCTCAACAGCCTGCTAGAGAGCCGGAATCTGGTCGGTGCACCCTCTGCCACACTGCACTTCCCAAATGTTCACTGTCACCTCTTGTACCATTTCAGCCTCTTAATTCCCATAGCCCTAAGTGCGTTGTGTCCTTCATAATAAGGCATAAGACCTGATGGGCTAATTAATTAACCTATAGCTTCATTGAATGCCACGGGGGCAGTCAGAACCACCTTGTCCCAAGCGTTAGGGGGGACATGTACATTCAGTGAAGTGATTTTCCAAAAGAGAAATCTATCAACGTTCTCTCCTCGGCAGCACTACACCTCGGACGCTGACGGGCTTTGCACTCGACTCATGAAGCCGAAAGTCATGGAGGGCACTGTGGCAGCGCAAGACGAATTCTCACGGAGTAAGTACTGCACAGGAGCTGAGTGGGCTGCTTGGTTGACGCGTGCTCCTGTTCCTACTCCTCCTCCTCTTCTTCCTCCTCCTCCTCCTGCTTCTGGCTTCATCTGCTTGTCCTTCCAGGCGGATGGTCCCTCAACATGAAAGACTTGAAGCTGCTACAGATCATTGGGAAGGGAGAGTTTGGAGGTGAGTGGGTCAGGAAGGCGTCCCCTTGGTTTCTCTTTGTGGGACTTCAGGCTTGGAGGACATCTCAGCTGCTGGATGTGGCTGATAAGAATTCTCCTTGGGATGGTGAGGGTGAGATGTTGGGGGCTTGTGGAAGCCCATGTGGAAGGAAGAGCGAACTGTAATGCTGGTCTACTCCTTGAACAGCTGTCATCCCGCTTTCTTTTAAGGCACAGCTAGCTGAGACCAAGAGCCACGTTCAGCCTTCAAATGTAATTTGAAAGAGATCTGAAGCCAGGGCTCAGTAGGAATTTAAAACAGAATTAAAATTAAATTCTTTCAATCTAGCTTGAGTATTTATTTTTTCTAACATCTGGGCCACTTCAACCAAAGCGATGTTAGCAGCTGACAAAGTCAAATAGAGCAACAGATAACAAACACAGGAACAGATAATACAGAATAAAAGAGTGACAAAGCAACAGGTAACACAGAATAAAACTCAGCACGTGTTCTCCTCCAGCCAGTGCCACCTCTGACTCTTGAGGCAAACACCCATTCCATCATGCCCCAAAAGCTCTTTAAAACAGCCAGGTCTTTGTATGATTAACTCTCCCTCTACATAGTATTGGTCATATTAGGAATTAGTACGACGTTCTTCATCTTCAAAAGGCCACGTGGCTTCAGTCAAAACACCTTTGGATGCAAAGCCACCATGGACGATCTTTTATGCTTTGCTGGGAAATTCCAGTTTCTCCATGCATAAACCATGGTTAGTGGCACATTTGATGGGAGCAAAGCGAGACATCTCCCTGCAGGATGCTAACTTGGGTCAAGGCAAAGTGACGCATCTTCTTGAGACAGATCACTAGCCATCTACCTGGCCTGGGAAACTAGTTCATTGGTAAGCAATGACTCATTGCTTGGTTCTGAGAAGGGCATCCCCATCTTTAGAACAGTGTTTCTCAACCTTGGTGACTTGAAGATGTGTGGACTGGCATATGCTGACTGGGGAATTCTGGGAGTTGAAGTCCACACGTCTTCAAGTCGCCAAGGTTGAGAAACACTGCTTTAGAAGAAACAAAGTTAATGCACTTTGCAGGGGCTTTCAGGGAACACAGGTCACTCTGGATCCTCCAGTTATGCATTGTCTTAAAAGAAAGGAACATCCAAGGTCCTTCAATACCCTTAAATTCTATGATTTGTGTTCTTTCTCGCCAAGCAAGGTTAATAGAGCAAAGTGAAGGCTGGTTGGGGATCAACTTTATCAGAGTCCTTTGGTTTAGAGCTTTTCAAACTACGATGCAGTTGGAATAGATGTTTTTCCTGCTCCAGGTGGAAGATCTTGAGTTTGTCTGAGTTGATCCCATCCACTTCTTTCAGCCTGTCACTCTCTTTTGCAGATGTGATGCTGGGTGATTACCATGGGAACAAGGTTGCTGTGAAGTGCATCAAAAATGACGCTACAGCGCAAGCCTTCTTGGCTGAAGCTTCGGTGATGACGTGAGTCCCTGACTCCTTGACGAGGGGAACTTAATCTGGATTAACATCTGGTTGCAGAGAAAAATGGCAGAGAGTGAAGAGTATCTGTTGTTCAGCCTGTGCTAACCTGGCTTCTAACAGAAGCATTGGCTTAGAAACTTAGCAGTGGAGACATATTTTTACTTGCTCCTGAAATGTCATTCAGGAGGAGGCAAGATCAAGAGTCCATAGAAGAGACTTTCAAAACTCTGGGACCACTACCAAAAAAGTCGTCCTCCTTCTAGGTTTCCATATAAACTAGAACCCAAAGCAGGACTTTGTGAACTGCTGTTATACTCCAAGAGAAGTTAGGAGAAACAATCCTCAAAGCATTTGGGACACAAACTCTTCAGGGCATGTCAAACACGGGAGGGGCGAATCTCAGAAGCCATGTTGTGTGAAAGTAGGGTTTCTTTTGACACCAGTGGTGGGCATGGTGCCCCTTGCATGAAGTCCTACATTTACAAGTGGAGACTCTGGCTGACCCCTCTTTAATCTTCTCCCCACTGTGTCATTGCAGACAGCTCCGGCACAGCAATTTGGTCCAGATGTTGGGTGTGATCGTGGAGGAGAAAGGGGGTCTCTACATAGTCACAGAATATATGGCAAAGGTAAGGACTTGCTGTCCTTTCAAAGGAAGCTTGGTCTGGAAGCTGGACATTGCTGAAATTCATAGCAGTGGCAGCCTTGTGCATCACAGGAAGGTTGCCTCCTTACAAATCGGTTTCCAATTTCTGATGATCTTTTGATTGGTTGATTGATTATGTTGCATCAAGTCAGTGTTGACTCTTCAGTGATCACATAGATAGATTTTCTCTAGGACACTGCGTCCCTAATCTGGTCTTTTGGGTCTTCCAACAGTGCACTCATTGCCACTGTAACTGAGTCTATCCACCTTGCTGCTGATCATCCTCCTCTTCTCTTTCCTTCCATCTTTCCCAGCATTATAGACTTTTCAAGAGAGCTAGGTCTTCATGTTGATTAATTGATTTTGTGCCATCAAGTGGGTGTTGACTCTTAGTGACCACATTGACATTTTCTCCGTGATGATCTGTCCCCAACCTGGTCCTTCAGGTCTTCCAATGGTTCCCGCATCATCACTGTAACTGAGTCCATCCATCTTGTTGCTGGTCATCCTCTTCTTCTCTTTCTTTCCACCTTTCCAGCATTAGAGCCTTTCCAGAGAGCTAGATCTTCACATAATGTGTCTGAAGTAGGATCATTTGAGCCTGGTCATTTGTGCCTCAAGTGAGAACTCTGAGTTGATTTGTTTGATGATCCATTGGTTTATTTTCTTGGCTGCCCATGGTATTCTCAGGAGTCTTCTTCAACACCAAGTTCAAAAGCATCAATATTCTTCCTATCCTGCTTCTTTAAAGTCCACTTTGATGATCTAAGAGCAGCTAAAAAGAATGAGAGCCAGTATTTCCCAACCTGGATACCCTCCAGTTACAGGGTCTTCCAACTCCAGAATGTTTAGCAATGGCCAAGCTGGCTATAGCATTCTGGGGGTTGAAATTTGGACATCTGAAGATATCCAATTTGGGCGAGAGGGTTGGGAGAGCCTAGGGTCAACTCTTGTTTAGCTTTGGACCCATCCCTTGTCTCTCAGTTTAGTTCGCTTTGCAGAATTGTTGGGAGAATAAAAGAGAAGGACCATGTATACTGATCTGAGCTCCTGGGTAGAAAGCTAATATACAAGTATCTGGCAAAAATACATTTAAAAGTACCCTCTTTAGCTGAGGTTGCTAAACAAGAATAATGGGAGGAGAACCAAGGTGTGACTTCATAATGTGTTTCTACCTCTCTGAGCTGCTATTTTGCATAAAGCCCACTTTGATGCAACTCAAGAGTTAAATATGAATGGGCAGAAGATCCCAGGGCTGTTAACTCTTCAGCCTTTAAGGTCTTTGGAATCAAATTCTCTTGGCCTCAGAAATGGAGAAGAAAGCACTGATAAGCATCTTTTTCTTTTTCTTCTCCCACTCTTCTGCTTCCCAGAATTGGAGCAGAAGTCTGTCTTATTTCCACTTCTCTTTCCCACATACAGTGTTGCAACCAGCATTGTTTCACTAGAATTCTTTTACTTCTTGTAATGCTTCCAAGCAACCCTTAGGGTTAACAATTTCCTTCCTCCCTCCCTCCCTTCCCTTCTCTTTCCTTCCTCCCTTTCCCATTCATCTCCTTGAACTGCCCCAGCAGTTAATATCCACAATTAAACGCTATTTACTGCTGGAATAAACTGCTGTTTTGAAAACATATTGTTTTCTCTTTGCTTGCGTGCATGGGTGTGTGTGCAGGCGTGTGCCCATGTGTGCACATGTAACTGCGTCCTACACAAAGAGGAGAGCGCCATCTACTGGGGAGTGCCATTCATTGCATTCTTTCGGGCTTCTACCCTGTTCAACCACTCCTTTTGGCCAAGTTGCAGATATAATAGGGGTGTAGTCCTGGGGTGAGTTTGACGTGGAATTCGATGGGATTTGAAGACAGGTGGTCTTCCTGGACTGCCTTAGATAATTTTGGGGGAAATCTTTGAACAGAGCTCAGGGTAGTGCCTTCAATCATTGTTAAAACAGGAAGAAATGTTGGTGTCACTTCCTTAACGCTTAATTCCTTTGTGTTTCAGACACACTCCCCATCACTTCTTGTCATCATAACCCTTTCTCTCAATCTTCCGGCAGGGAAGCTTGGTTGATTACCTTCGTTCCCGAGGAAGATCTGTGCTGGGAGGTGACTGCTTGCTGAAATTCTCCTTGTAAGTATGGAGACTTGACAGCTTCCGTGTTCAGATCCTACATTTCAGTTGTAATGTTGCATCTCCTTTCTAACTTGAGGTCTAGCTTCAATGCTGTCACTACACTTTCTTAAAACTGTGTGTGGGAGGGTGAAGTTGCTGTCTAGGGGTGGAAGAGAAATTCCATTTGGCTTATGTTTAATCGGAGCCAACTCATTTTCAATTTGCTAATAAGCGAACCCTAACGTAGTTCTTGCTCAGATCTGGGCCTCTCTGAATTGCTCCATGTCGTTCTCCGGTTTTTAAAAATGTATCTGTTTAAGAAACCTGCCTGCAAAAAAGCAAACTCTAGGAAAAATTATTTTCAGAAGTGCTTGCAAATGGTGCAGAAGTTTTACGCCAACGTTTGAATACTGATGCAGAAACAGATTAAAAGCAGGTTGTCTTTCAAACTGGTAGACTGCCCAAAATCCTTGGAAGTAAGACTGTATAGAGACAGACAGACAGACAGACAGACACATATGCATACATGCATGCATAAAATGAAAATAAAATGTTCATCCATGTTGCCAATAAAATGCCATGCGAGATTTATTCACCTGCAGCAGAATCTACTTGGCATGAAAATAAGGGAAGCTGTTGTGTGGAAATTTGCCAAAAGAAATGGAAAGTGTGGAAGTTGGCAACTGTAAAGTTTGAAGCTGGCAAGCAGAGAAGCAGGCCCTACAGAGTTGTTATGTCAACATGGAGCAGATGTTTCCTATTCTCAAGGCTAGGAAATGAGCAGCCAAATATCCATTGACTCAAAAGGATAGGAGGACAAAGATTTAAACTCTGAGACTGATGTATATATCGGTCACAATTCCTGTTTTGTGTATATTCGTCTTTGGTCTTGCCTTCAGTAAAGCAACTCATCTAACCATGTCAAGCCCACAGAGCTTCTGGTGTTGGCTAGTTAGTTAACTTGGAGCTGAGTTGAAAGCAGAGATTTATTGCCATGTCTTGTGGGAAGTCTGACAGCAACCGAGCCTTTGCTGGCAAGTCAGATTGTGATCCCTTTATCCTTCTATTGCCTTTTTGTAAAGAAAATGCTTGGGCGGGGGTGTTTCTACAAAAATGGCTTATTGAAGTTCGTGGTTGGAAGGTGATGGCTTCTCAGTGGCCTTGTGGGGTGGAGGCATGCCCCCCTTTTCCTGAACCTGCCCCCTTGCTTGCTCTTGGCCCATAGAGATGTCTGCGAAGCCATGGCGTACCTGGAAGCCAACAACTTTGTTCATCGAGACTTGGCAGCAAGGAATGTGTTGGTCTCGGAGGACAATATTGCTAAAGTCAGTGACTTTGGGCTGACAAAGGAAGCTTCTTCCACCCAGGACACAGGCAAGCTCCCGGTGAAATGGACAGCACCAGAAGCACTTAGAGAAAAGGTGAGCGGGGACCTGGGAGTGGGTGATGACTAAGTTAGGGCTGATCCAAGTAGGACTTGATAAGGCCTACAAGGACCGATGATATTTGGTCCTTCCCTCAGCTGAAATCCTTTTCCTCCTGCAGCGTGGTCAAGCTCATCCCATTCTTAATTCAATGTCTTAATGCTGTAGGGTCTGTCACTCCAAGGGTGGGTTTGTCCATCTCACATAGCCCAGTAAGTTGATCCCAGTTCCTTGTTTTGGCTCTGCCTGCAAAGGGTTGCTCTTCCTGAGCCACCATTAGAGCAAATATAGAGTCCTTTCTCATATCACAAGTATGGGGTTGGATGCCCGGGTGCTAGTGAATTTGGTGGCTTTAAGCCCAAGCCAACCTCAGTTCTCAACTGAGGAGGCCAGAGACCGAGCATTGTCCTCTTACTCAGTTGGTGGAACATCTCACCAGTGCTTGACCCAGGTCTTCTGATGATGCCTCTGTGCCTGTGTTTTCTTTTAATCTTGGCAGAAATTTTCTACCAAATCAGACGTATGGAGCTTCGGGATTCTTCTCTGGGAAATCTATTCCTTTGGGCGAGTGCCTTATCCAAGAATTGTAAGTGAAGGCTCAGCGGCCCCACCCTGTTTGCCCCCAACCACCATTGCAGTCCTTCTGTTTGGCTAGACATCTTTTTCAGTGAGGTTATCTCTGGGGGAAAAGGAAACCACAAAGGATGGGGCAGAAGAGCCAAGAGCACATGGGAAAAAGAACATTGTGCTTTTCCTGGGAAAGACACAGTTCCTTTGGGGAGTGCAGGGAAGGCCTTTGCTGGCCTGCCTTGCTTTGAAGCCTCTTTTTTTTTCTTTTTTGCAATTGAATTTCAAACATTGCCCGGTTCTCCTGCGTAGTGATGTCAGGGATGGGCAGGGACAGTAGAGGTGGCTAGCTTAGAAACCAGCACCGCCCCAGTGCCAGAAACATTACGAAAAGGCCTTTAAAGCATCCTTAGCCAAACTGGGAATATCTTCAAACCCATTTCTCAGAGTGGGGAAGATTCCGGGGTGAAGCCCAGATCATGAGAACCAGCAGCTTCCATTATTCCCAAGTGCGCCCATTCCCCGCGTTCTACCCCAGAGTCGCGCCCTCCTTAAAAGCGTTGCTTTTTCCCTCTCCGCCCGCAGCCTCTGAAGGACGTGGTTCCTCGTGTGGAAAAGGGGTACAAGATGGATGCTCCCGACGGTTGCCCCCAGATTGTCTACGAGGTGATGAAAAAATGCTGGACTTTGGATCCCACCCACCGACCGTCCTTCCACCAACTACGGGAACAGCTAGAGCATATCAAAACCAGTGAGCTCTACCTGTGAAGTCGACAGGAGGGCGGGGCTTCTTCCGGACACGCCCTCGCCTCCATCTCCCCTGTGCACAGACCTCAGGGGGTGGGGCGGGGCTGGGCTGGGCGAGGCCCGGAGCGAAGCCGATTTTTGTTCAGGAACCCAAATTTCTCCACTCAAGGGACTGTACTTAGAGAAACGTATTGGACATTGGACATACCCACACATGCCCAGTGGGTGGGTGGGGAATGTAGTTTCTTTCTCCCAAGGAAGACTTGTATCTTTCTCAGCCGAACCGCCGGAAGATGCACAAGTGCGAACAAACCCGCCGGCGCTCAGCCTCCCTCCTTGCCCCTTAAAAATCCGCTTCACCGGGAGGGAGAATCGTACAATATTTTAGTGGCATGTTCTCCAACGTTTTTGGCTTCCTCTTCCTTCTCATGGGACCCCCTTCCTTTACCTCCCCCTGCCTCCTCCTTCCCACCCTTTTCAGCTTCCCTCTGGAACCCAACGTGCATTTTCTGGCCTCGTAGGGAGAAAGAAGAAGGGCGCACCAGGCCAAAACAGTGGTAGGACAGAGAGCAAAGGCGCAAGCTTTCTTGGGGAAAGGAAGCGACTTTCTTAACTTTCTCAAAACACCCACGAGTGCTGGAATCCACAGTCCACAGTCCAGCGTCCTCTTCCTTCTAAATATGCTTTTTTAAAAAAAAAAAAACAATAATAATAATAATTGGGTTTTGTTTCCTTTTTTTTTTTAGTTTTCAGGGTTTTTTTTAACTATTATTATTTCAAACTGCACCAGAAATCAGCTGTTTGGCTGGGTTTTACTCAAGTTACAGATCTTATTTTTAATGTAATGAATAAAATGGGTTTTTTTAAAAAAAAAAGAAGAAAAAATGAAACATCTGCATGCCCAGGGAACCGTGCCAACCTGACCCAGGTCTTGACCAACCAAGGCAGAGGTTGTCCTCAAAAATGCAGAGCCACCCAGAAGCGTGGGTGGCTGCTTTTCTCTAGTTCTTGCTTAAAACAGTGTTTGCATGCTGCCTCCAGAACCCCTTTCCAGTCATGTCTCTATGCTCATATTATGCTGCCAACTGTGAGATTAAACTGTATTAAAGGAAAAGAAAACCATTCCATATGAAGATGTAACTTCGTTGTCTCGACGCTCAACCTTTTTTTTTCGGGTTCGTGAAAAATACGGAGGCTTTTTTCCATTTGGTTTTATTTAAGCCACAGCCTGGATGTGTGTGGAAACGGGAGGGACTAAATACAGCCCTAAGGAAAGCTACCGTGCGCTTCTGTGGGCTCTCCCCCAGATCCATCGGTCTTCCTCCCGTGGGGTTCATTTTCTAGACGTAAAACCGTCTCTGTGGTCCTCCTCTTAATCCTGTTTCACTGAGATACAGCAGCTAGAACTGGAGCTCCCACAAAGTTTGACAATCTGGAATAAAATGGAATGATTCTTGTGACCTAACAATCACATTTGTCTTTTTCAGAGCTGCGTCACCCTGCTGGCTCATGCTTGCTTTTTTGTAGATTGCTCAATTATGTATCTACGTTAGTCGTTTTTTGTTTTTTAAGAATTTGCCTGACCAGATGAGCCTTTTATAATTATCGAGACATCTCCTGAAATAGATGGCGAGTTCTGTTCATAAAGCCTCAGCCTCTTCTGTTGTTCATGTCTCAGAACCCTTGCAGGTTTGAGAGGGTGGGTAGTTCACAGAGAAGGAAGAAGCTGATTATACTTAACATTCAAGGATAAAGAAAAAAAACGGCTCTCTCTCCAGCTAAGAAAAGACTGTGAGCATGAGTCCTAAGCCACCCTCTTGGGCAGTTCACACAAGCACTTCGGCCTGTAAGAGAGTCATGTGAATGGACCATGGAGGAGGAGAGCCCTGTTAGTCGATGGTGGCTAAAAATCAGGAGTCCAGTAGCCCCTTTTCTGACAACTTTTGTAAAAAGGCACCAGCTTTCATGAGCTGCAGTTCATCATATGCATGGAGGGGCTTTAGCTGACCCACCAGATGGAAGTGAGGTGTAGTTCACAAAGCTTACACCTTTTAATAAAATTTGTTAGTCGGAAAAGGGGCTATCAATCTCCTGATTAACTGGACCATGATCACGATCTGTAATTCAGCTTAGCACCACTAGATGGCTCTCTGCCTCCAGACTAGTAAACCCCCTGCTATCCTGGTTCATTTTTTCACAGCAATTTTTCCTAATTGTGTCTTCCCAATGAGTCGGACTACAGCTCACATAAGCCCCAGCCAGCCTGCTGGAAACGATTCATGGCTCTAAGTCCAACATATCCAGCGGGTGGCCGGTGAGGAAAGGCTGTGGATACAGAGCTAGACAGACCAATCGTTTGATTTGGTACAAAAACATTTGGGAAAGAGTCTATAAAAGTAAAACACTTCTGTGTCTTGCAGAAGACTGCAAATCCAGCTATTTCCAGATACAAAGACTCAAGCTGCAGATATTAGGAAAAAGGTTCACATTTCTGCCTAAAGCCCTACATGGGTTCTGCTGATCAAGTAGATAAGGTCAACATTTAAACTTTTCAAGAAACCTGTGAGTTGTGTCTCGTCAAAGGGAAAATAAAGAGGAATATGGGTACATGTTTCTTAAATACTTTTTAATACATGGGGTATAAATGGGGTGTATGAATTTGCATAGACCAGCCTACTCAGCAGCATTTGGAATGCAACGGGTTCAAAAAAGGCTTTTGAGTTGGCTGAATGGTCATCCTTACATTTCAATATTTAGACTTAGTTGAGCTGAGTGCTGAAGCTCTGCTTTTGCCAAGAATAACATGGAGGGGAAATTTAGGAGGACCTTCAGGGCCTCTAAAGGCACTTACATGAAATAGTTCAAGGCATCTGTGAGGAAGGTCAAAAAATCAAGATGGCGGTTGCAACTACACAAGTGAGGCCCCAACCTGTCAACCCTTTGAGGTAGACCAGACTAGGAAACCAAAGTTAAGAATGCTAATACTACTTTTATTATAGGGTTACAATAACAGAATCTTACAAGACTGAATGTGCTTGCCCCCTCCCTCCCTTTATCTTCAAGGGAACTAGGGAGGGTCAAGTCTGAGTCTCTTTCTCAAATTACATCTCTGCCCCGGACCCAGATTTCTTTTATCTGACCGTTGTTTTGGTCAAGGCTCTTTGTCCTGTTCCTCAAGGTTATTCTCACATTCCATTACACACCCCTTTTGCATCTGTATGGATGTTCTGCACCTATACAAAGGGACGGGGCTTCAATTGCACAACTGTGACTCCCATCTCGGCTTTTTTGAGCCCCCCCCCCCCCCCCGCAACAACTCCTTTTAAAGGATCTCAAGTAGCATTTTATGAGACAAATCACCTGCCAAGAGCTTGGCTTATCAAACAGACAGTAAATCAGCCTTCCACATCCTGCTCCTCAGGAAAGAATGAAATTAATAGTCCAGATATGGACATTTTTATTAACTCCCCAGGAACTTTGCTCAGCATGGGGGAGCTGCCCTTATTTATTTATTACTACTAATATTTTATGTGTTGTCATTAACTAGCATATACTTTACAATTGTTTTTCCCCAACGGCTGAGTTAGATCATACTCAGGTGAGGCCAAAGAATTAAATCAACTTTAGCTTCCCATAGTGTGTATTTATTTTTAAAAAAATTAAAAAGGAGAGAGAAGTCCAGACTTGCTGTCTTGATTTTCAGTAAAATGAAACAGAGTTTTACAGCTACTTAAAGGAATGGAAATCTTCCTCCAGCAGTTGAAAGGGAGGCCACTGGTGATATCTTCATGCCTTGCAATTTTATGGGGCAATGGGAAGGAGGGAAAGTCAACCTGTGTAGCAAATGGGATAACTTTACTGGATATCCTCCAGGTGATTCACATGTTAGCTGTTAATGGAAGGGAATCAGCTGACCATCAATCACTCAGTCATCAATGCTTGGATGCAAATATTGCTCCGACATCTTCTGGGGGTTGGGGAAATGTTTTAGTTTTGCTTGTGAACGAATTCTACAGTACAATTCTCTCTCTCCTGTTGGAGAAAGAATTCACACATAAGGTGAGACATTGTCTATGGCCGTGTTTCTCAACCTTGGCCACTTTAAGCTGTGTGGACTTCAACTCCCAGAATTCCCCAGCC